ATATTACAAACAAAATAATAAAAAGTAAGCTTTAAATAAAAAGTAAAAGCGGATTTCTACGAACTAAAAATAATAAAATAATTTTTTTGAAGTTGCCTTTTACTTTTTATTTAAAGTTAATTTTTTATACGTTAGAAATTTGTACACTTCAAGGCTATGTACTTGATCTTCGCCACATTTAGTTTCAGTTCACAGTTCTTGAGCGTGTCCATATAGCGATTCACTCGTGACTCAGCATTATCGTTGGCTTCGCGTACGATTGGGATGTTATTAGTTTAAATTGAAAGCTTAAAGTTTAAACGAACTGATTATGAGATAAATCTACGATATTTTCTACGGCGGTATCTAGTACTATGTTTTACAAAAAGAACTTTCCTGAAATACATACTAAGATTTAGCTGATGTAATCCACTTCTTCAAAAACATTTTTACTTAAGTCCCCCTTATTACGCATTATTCATATTTATACATAAGACGGCTCCGTGGCGCAGTGACTTAGCAATGAGTGGCTGCGCTGGGGGTCGCGGGTTCGAATACCGCACGGAACAAGTATTGGCATGGCTTACAAATAATCGTTCCGGGTCTGGATGTTTGTCTTGTTGCAATTTATGTTTGTAAACTGCCACCACGATATAGGAGAAAATCCTAGTGTAGGGGTAACGTTTAAAAAAAAAGAAAAAAAATACATCATAATGCGTTTGTGAATCTAGTCGGGCCACTGGGTCTCGGTTTTGATTTCGGGAACAATGACCAACCTCAAAATGATTGGGTGCGAGAGTAACGAAAGTGGACTGTATTCAACCTGGTTCATTAAGAACCAAAACAAAATGGCGGAAGTGGCGCGTGGCGGGTTCCGGACAATATACTTGCGATAATCTAATTTACTATATTCCAACAGAAATAAAAACAGAATGATTTCCTAAATTTACGCGAACATTTATTCAAATAAAAACAGCTCACGATAGGAACGGGCACTTACTTGGGCGTGGCTGCAAATGGTCTCTCTCCTAGGCCTCGAGGCTGGTGCAACTACGTTGCAACTGAGGTGTTGCGCGGAAGCAAATACACCGTGATTGACTGTTAAGCGCCACGACAAATTATTGCACTAGTGAATGACGATAAATGCACTTGTGGTAGCGGTCACTACGAAGGTTTGTACTGTTCTGTGGCTAGACTGCCATAGGGGTGCTATCACAGCCAAGATCGAGCTCCGACTGGACGAGCGGCGGCGGCACACATCGATGGCTTTGGCTCGCCGGCGGCGTCCTTCCAGCCTTTCATTTTGGCCAGCGAGTGACCATTGGACCAAAGCCACCAATCTAGCACCTCATTGGACGTGCCCGTTCGGGAGGGAAAGGAAGTGAGAAGGAAGGATATTGCCAGCAAATAAACTAACTATGGTCAACCAAATCTAAGAAATACCTTTTGACGTTTCACATTAATCATTCCGCAATAACTTTGCACCAGCGTACTCACACGATTTAAAATTACCTTTTACGTAAATCCGAAGAATTATGAAGTTACCTATATTTAATTACTTTCAAGTTTTTCAAAAGAATATAAAAAATAAGCGTTAATTTTTTTACTTGACGTCTTTTCGCTATGTATATTACCGTAGTTTGGATGATTAAAATTCATTGTTATGCGAATGATCGGCAAAATATTCAAATAATTGGTAAAAAGTTTCAAATAATGGGATTATTATTTTTTTAATGTATTATTTGTTTCATTTAATTGAAAATTCTTTAAGTTACATGAATCATGAATAAAACAAGTTTATTTATTTTACTTTGTCAAAGTAAATTTGTATAGGCAAAAACTCATATATAAGGTCGTGCTAAAATAACCACTACATAATTTCAATATCCCGCCATTTCCGTACCACTTACTCGACTCCACAGAGTCAGTAATTCAATCTTGGGGAGATGTATACGCTTTTATAACAAAATCCCAGAAAATATACAAAATTTGACGTAAGTACACAAAGTTTAAAAAACATTATTAAAATAAGTTTGTATAAAAAGGGTTATTTTAGTATTAAGGAATTTATGGATGATAATAACCCCTGAGAAGTGTGATCGCTACCAAGCTATTCCTAATTTGTTTTGTGTTGTTAATTGTAACACGCATGATTGTATCTTATTTAAGAAAAAAACTAGTCCCGTTGGGTTTCTTGCTGGTTCTTCTCAGGACAGAGTTTTTTTTTTGCGAACCAGTGGTAAATGAAAAAAGTGACTTTCAGTAAGTATTATTCATAATCTATATTGAATAAAAAGTTTCTGTTCTGTTTTGAGAGCTTACTGTGCGTAATTTTGTGTCTGTCTTCTTATTTTGTGACTCAGCTTTAACTTTTTGGACTGTTTCTTCTATAATAACTTTTTGTATGTGGTAGAGCCACGCTACATCTATATTATAGTTGAAGCATGTATGTGTCGGCTCAACCGGGGCAGGACCACCCTCTCACAGAATACCAGCGTAAAATAGCAGCGTAATGCTGCTGTGTTTCGTGTGGTGAGTGTAGAGAACCGGAGGCCCTTTTTACTGGAATCGAGGCATTCCATCTTAATCCTCTAAGGTGACAACGCATTTGCATTTTGTTTCTTAATTTAGGATAAATATGTATGTCTACGGGCCGTAGCATCCACTTACCATTGGGTGGACTGTGTGCTCGATTGTCACCCAATGCTATAAAAAATATATTCGTTGAAGCATGTGCCCATGTCACGAAGGATGATTGGGCAAAAGTGGTAGAAAAAACAAAAAAAAATAGTTATGGATGACCTTGAAAGAGACATTAATTTTGACTGCATTATTGAAGATTAAATAATACTTAATATAAACAATGACACCTCAACTAGTTGTACTGAAAATTATTGAATACATTTATTTTTAATCTAGTTTCAATCTTAAATTTTTATAACTGTGCCTCTAGAAATAAGCAGTAACAACAAAAAACACGTGTGGCACTCGGTGACTGCCGCGGTAAAGCTATTGCATAGCATTTTTTATCAACTTATGCAATTATAATTATTTATTTATTTTATTTATGCAGTTAAGTCTTTGATATTGAATCAAGTTACACTTTTTGAGCGTGGTGACCGATAAGAAAACAATTTTTTTCTCTTATTGAATAAATGAGAAGTTAATATTGTTTAAAATATTTTTAATATCTTACAATACATGTAGGTTATTCAGGAATTTTTATCATTGAGTTAGCAGCTAGTGTACACGCATACGTCTAGTCGCACGCACACAAACACCGTGCCGAAGTCTGCCGAGTGCCGAAGTCTGCCGAACTGAAACGACGTTAGACGATGCACGGCTTTCAACGCCACACCTCCGTGCCCGTCGGAGTGGGGAGCGTGAGGTTTTTTTTCGTTACGGAATTTCTGGATTCGGTCCCCGCGCTCAAGGCCCGCGATGGAAGCTATGCAATAGCTTAAAAATACGAAGAAACTGATAAATCTTGTGTATTAAATTATCTGTTTTTAATTTATTCTGGTATTATTCAAACCAAACTGTAAATGATTACCAACTCTAAATAATCTATATCGATTTTTTTAAGTATCTAATATTGTACGTTCCCATTTTTTGGTTGGCATATTTGGTGCAATAAGTCTGACAGCTGTCAAAATGTATTTCTTAGATTTGGTTGACTATAATTAACACAATACAAATGTGTATTTTGTCGTAACCAGAATACATGTTTTTAATTCATTTATTATTATTCAATTCGAAAAGCAATATCGCCTAGGTTACTTGAATAATGCGTGTTCAGCATGTTATCTGGGATTAGAGGAAACTTTAATAGATGTATCTCGTCGCTTCACGAATATAAATATTGAGCCGGGATTCATTTCATTTATCTCAACTAACTTTAGTTAATTTAAATTCCCGTCATTCGTTTGTTACATTACATTTTATTGATCACAAATCGTCACTGGTAAGACTTATTGGTAAAGCTAAGTAGTTTAAAGAAACAACTCTAGTACAACAAGTGGTAAAAAATATTTGTATAACCGATTATTACTGACCAAGATGGCATCTCCACTTACTGTACTCTATATAACGGCAGGTCGATAGTCAAGTTTTAGCTTATTATTTATTTAAAAGTATATTAAAAAGTTTCTGAGTGGTAAAGTTTGTACTGGTAATGCATCATACAGAATAAAATCAACAAGTATAATATGAACAACCGCCAATTTAGCTAGTAATCAGGAAATGTAATATCAACTGTTATAGTATTTGCACTACAATGGTATCAAAATTACGAAAATATTAAGCTATTTTTATAGAATCAGTGTGACAAGCGAGCACATAGTCCACTTGACAGTAAGCGGATGCTGTGATCCATAGACATAACTTCATTTATCCTTAGTTACAAATTAAATGGCTGATGAAAATGCATCTGCATTAGATGGAGAGATGGATGTCACATACGATACAGACCTGATGTAATTAATAAAATTCATGAGCTTAATACTAAACATTATAGCTATTTAAGAAGTAGTAATGTAGGGAGACTCCATTCACGAGTCAAAGTGTAATTATGTTTTATGGTTTCTGCCACACAACTAATCCTTTGGTAATTTACGTATTGGCTACGCCGCTACGGATATACTACGGGGCGACAATAAGCTATTACGAAACCTGTAGCTATGCTACACTGCTACGGATACACGATATTCGTATCTACGAGTGGTCAATAAACGTTTCTACCAGACTCCGTTCCTGGTATGTAGTTTTGTATATATTGCTGCGTGAAAAAATTTCTCGGAGCTTATAAATAATATATATGCTCTTCCATTTTTTTTACTTTTCTAGACGCGTCAAATTCGCCTCTATATTAATGGCCTTTGGATAAAGAAGTAGGACAGCGTCGAATTTGGGGAATATTTTGATTAAAATGTGAAATAAAATTGAAGAGTATTAAGGTAGTATAATACATTATATTAGAAAATAAAATATATCACCTATCTTAAAACTACTTTTTAAATTACCTATCCATTTTATTGTCTGTAATAATCTAACATACGCAAACTTTCCATTAAGGGAAATTTATTAAATACTTACTTACTTATAATACTTACCAGAATTAAATAGATTATATAACCTATCATTGTTATTGAAATTTATATTTGAAGTATTACATACTTTTGAATAGTGTCAACCTGAATTAGAGGTTCGTCATCTGGTTAAGGCATCATACTCTTATATTACTTTGAGCCTATTTTTGTCAAATCTCGAGATTATAAATTAAACGTGGTGATAAAATAATTGATTGTCATTAAAAATGGAGAATCAGAATTGATTACATGTTTCGTAGCAGATCCGAAGAGACCTGTTTAGTCTTTGTTTTATAAAAAGTTAACTGTAACCGTGAAAAGCGACTATCGAGCGTATCTTCTTCAATTCTTCTTCTTTTTCGATGTTGTATTATATTCTAGGTCTCCAATTGTTCTATAAAAGGAATTTTACACGGTATAACTCGGCACTCACTCACTTTAGTATTCGTAGGCCTGTATGTTTGATCTAACTTACCATAAGTCTTTTCGAACATTTTTATCTAGTCGACATATGAATACATAATATTTTATTTATTTTAAAATTTGAGACACTACTGACATGTACTGACTCAACCAGCTGTTGTCAATAAAATAAATGAATGATCGCGATTGTTTAAGGCACGGTAATTAAGGACAGAGCTATTTTTTTAAATTATAAATTGCAGGATATTTTAGATTTATCTTCATCCCCAGAAAGTGCTTTTTCGGTTTTTTGTCTGTTTTGCTCGTTGTTTGAATATTTTTGAGGTGGTCCGGATATTTCCAGCATTTCAGTATTGAGATCCTTACTAGATCGATTAGCAGCTATGATATTGTCGCGTGATGTCCGGGTGGTAAGTTTAACAATAACATTTTTAGTCCTGTATCTACTTCTCCGATATAAAATATTGTTCATATTTTTTTATAACTTATTAAATATTAAATTCAAATCTCGAGCTTGCTGTTTAATACTTGCTCTCATTTTAAAAGGAGGATTATATAATTTATTTTTTCCATCTCCATCAGCGGCTATTTATATCCTTGAGGGATTCCTTGAAGCTTGCATTGCCGGAGCCCAGGCCATGAACAGTGTCATTTAGAGCGGCCAATGACACTGTTATCTTAGATAAGTGACTTGCCAAAATTAATTGTAAGGACTTGGTTATAGTCTCCGATATATTTTGATCAAATTTATCAAGTTTATCTTCCAATATTTTCATACGGTAAGTAATGTCATCATCTTCAGGTTGCTTACGCTTACGTGAATTGACAAAAATATCATCTACCTCCGCCGACGCAGATAAATTCGGGTTTGACGCAAATTTTGGTGGTGTGCGTTGTATCGACATTTTTGCAACTGTTTTGAGTGAGTGCAAATAAGAAAGAGGTACGTTTTCAAGAACATGAACAGCGATATCAGTTATAGACTTATAGTTATAGTTGTATATTATAGTTATATAGAGTTATAGTTGTTTAGTCACTTGGTTTGTTAATATTATCGCAGTCAATTGTAGCACTTAACACAATCAACAACACGTCTACTTTCAGTGAGAGCACACAACGAACTGAACTCTACTCTACTACTTTTTTGCCAAGAAGTCCGTTTGGATAAGTTTTTATTTTGCCTTTTTCCCAACTTCACTTTTATCTATTTTGCCCTCGAAAAGCATGTGAGCTTGTACGCATACTGATGTTTTCTGTAGTCTGAATGATAAATAGAGCCAGTACGTACCTCACACTGAAAGTTCTGCGCTCCTGGCTGCAATAAATATTTTAATTTCGAATGTTATTTTTTTTAATTTAGTAAGTTTATAGTATATTCATTTAAATAATTTTTGGCAGGATGTTGCGTTTTAATTGTTTTTTATCACAATTTGAAGATCTTCATCCGTAAAAAATTAGAATTAGCGAGAAAATATTTTAGGTTGAAGGTTAAAGTTAACTCTCTCCATAAGATCAAGAAGGGGAAGCATTTCATTTGATCACTACCAACTGTTGGTACGCAAAACATAACCTTGGCCGTATTTCTCTCTATGACTCTTAATGACTCTTTAATGTAAACTCTTTATGAGTGCAGGTTGACCCTCAATTGCGATTATTGAGAAAAATATGGCTACTGTCAGGTGACTTCTTGAAGGAAACCTGCACACCTATGAGGAGAACCGACGACATTGTTCGTATTGGCATGGGCCATATTAAAAAAAATATATGAACATTTTAAGTTAAAGTCGTGATCAATGATCACGGACGTTCAAATGCTGTATATTACATTTTAACAGGAGATGAAACATATTGTTACTTTCCGGAAAAAAAACAACAGTTTTCTGTATGTCTGTTTGAAGGTGGCAGCAAAGTACCAAAATTTCGGCAAGCAGGAAGCAAATAATGATTTCTTTGTTTCTCCCGTCCTGTCTGCACAATCCCCATAGATGAGCAAAATACAGTTAAAGCTGAGTGGCCAACACCGTTTGTGAGATAAGTATCTTTGAAAATTTGACGAAGAAGTCGCATCCTATTCAACATGACAATGCTTTGGCACACAGCGCAGACCAGGCAAAATTATTTTTGGTTTTAGAAAAGGTGAAGCTTGTAACTCATCCTGCACACAGTCGAGACCTCGCACTATGTGATTTCATTATTTGCCTAAAAATTAAATATTTGATGAGAGATTTCACATAAATAGAGCCAGAATTTTTAACTATCTATACGTTTTTACGTTTACGTTTTTAAATATGTAGAAAAGTCGTGTCTGTAGTTCTAATATTTTCTGGAATAAATAAGTCCAGGGGACTAAATATAGGACACTGAAGCCAAATTCGTGGTTTTTAGAATTTTTGTCTGTTTTTCTTCAAGATTTCATTCAAGATTCACACAAAAACCACTGAAAGATTTCCATAAAATTGTGTATAGGTAATTAAGGACCCGGCGCTACTTATAAACGAAATATTTATATTTATAAATAAAGCCCAAAATAAGTTTTAATTGTTGCATAATAAATTGAACTTCGCCGACAATCTACGATATTATATTTGTAATCACTTTTTCAAGACAGTGCCAACTAACGTAAAATACAAAAATTAATGACATTTTGCCTCCATCTACGAATGAATTAAATAATACATATAAATAACTTACATTTATATACTTATTAAATTAATTAAATTCATAGATGGTTTGAAAATTCTAATGTATATTTTTTTACTTTTTGTTATTTTATTTTACTAGATATAAATAAATTGTATAGTACCTAATTACTACCTAAATAAATAGTAGTGATATCTAGCGAAAATCATAAAATGGATGTTTCTGAGTTTAATTTCAAATCTATAAAAAGTTTTAGTAGGTATTAGTTTTTTTATCTATAAATAAACTGATAAAAATTACAATTAGTAAAAAACTCGTATTATCCTTATAGTTTAAATACAAAGATTTTTATAAATGTATTGGTCAGATCTTAGAATTTTTAATACCATAAATTAGTCGATTATTGAAACTAAAATTGCAGTATTTCATAAAATTTAAAAGTGTTTGTTGACTATATCATGATATAGCTTGACCAAATCAAGAAATATAGATTGTTTGGCGATATTAACAACTAAACACGACATTTCTCGTGAAATTATTTCATTACACACCACTTTGTTTTTGATTGAGTATATATTGTATTTGATAAAAGCAGAATTTTTAATAGATTGTATATCAATTTATACCAAATTTATGTATTATATAAATGTAAGCGGATTTTCTATGCGATAGAGCCACTTTAGTCGCTCCTCAACTTATTGTGTCTGAAAACTAGAGGGTAAAGTGTCTATTGTCATAGTTTTAATGTAATAATAGCCCCATCAGCACTTACTGCTAAACAAAATAATATTAAGTACATAACTGGTCAATTAAATTACACAATTCTATTAAATACGTACTTATTATTGTAGCATCAAAAATTGTCAGACCGGATAGACCGGTGGTTTGCATGATTTATCATAATTGTCAATTTTAGCAAAATTACTCACAAAACTGTGTACACAAAACTTTTATTAAGAGAGGTCTTTAGTTTAATATGTTGTGTGCCTATCGGCATAGCAATATTTCACCAATTTCTTTTTGTATCAAGTCCGATATAAGTAATTGAAAATTAAAGGCGCTGTGATATCTTTTCCATAATTGATGGAATAGTTCGTGATACCGTTGACGCAGCCTTTTTACTTTTATTGAGATTTTTAAAACAGTTTGTCATATATTTAGATAGCTTTCATATTTTCAGACATAACTATTAAGATTTTTGAGACATTCCCGGTTTCATAGATCACTTGAGTAAATGAACAGGCTCTTGTGAAAAAATACTATAAATATCAAAAAAATCAAATTTTAAACACGGGTTTATTTTAATTTTAACTATGAGTAGAAATGCATTGATAGAATCTTGAAAGTCATCTGTATAAGCCGGTGATCAAACCGATCTAAACGTCAATTTAGTTCTAGGTACGCAAATAAATTTAAGTAGTATATGACCTATAAAATATCTTTGTAGTATATATATTAAATCTCTTTGTAGGTACGTAACCAACCCAAATTGTGTCTGTGGAAGTGGATCTACCACGAGGACCCCACTCATATTTTAACTGCAATTTAAGTGTCGATTTACCACGTTCTCGGCGATGAAGAAAAAGATCGCAAGGAAACCTGCATCTGAGAATTACAAAAATATTTCTGAAATTTTTAGGTATAGGCATGTGAAGTCGATCATCCCGCGTTGGAATCAACTTAATCAACTTCTTTTTGACTTAAAACTCGCCGTGGCCTATGCCTATAAGTGGGATGTATTAGGCTGCTACTTTTTTACTTTTAATAGATTATTTACTGCAGATAATAGACTTCCCCCATTGTGTGTTCAATAGACCAGGTAAGGTCGCTTGGCAAGCGGGTTGACAACCGCAGCTCTGTATCACTTTGCTTGCGATGTTATCAAGAAGATGCTACCCATCTCCTGTTTCAGTTTCCCTCTATCGCCTCTTAGCTCTTAGGACACCCACGGGACGAAATGGAGTAGTGGTTTGTTTTTCGCCGCCGCTACATGGCTAATATACTATTTCTACTCAAATTAACTGGATTTATTTCACAGACTGCCAAATAAGTTTGATATTTGCCATAGTTGCCACGCCTGGCATACGAATTGCCAACTACATTTTTTATTACTTTGAACTATAATCAGGAAGACGCTGCTGCCCATCTTATGTAGATTTCTACTCCTCTTTATGAATTTAGTTACTCTCACACGTTAACCGTGAATAGAACTACATTTACGAAATTTTGAAGTCTACTCGAACGTAAAAAATACTGGAATGTGGTGCTTATGAATATTAAATGGGACCAATATTAATAAGGATCATGAAATTAAACCTTATTTTATTAAAACGATATCAAATTTAATAATGCATATTATATAAATAACGCAACTTCAATTTCAGAACAATTTTTTCTTCACAAAGGCACATCGGAAGGTATGCCCGATGTTCGTATGTTTAACGTATGTTTAATAATAATTAATTTTTTTTATAAAAACAGTTTAATAAAGAAGTAAAAAATATAAAATTAAAATATGTTAAAAAATGTTAAATGTTAATGTTATGTTAATGAGCTCGAGTCCGTCGCGGTTACGGTGATTACGTGAACTAACTTAATTTTTATAATTTTCGAACTATAGCGATTGCTTCACGTAAAATGTTAATGCCAGCAGAAATGTATGATTGGACCGTACATGCTGCCGGGCCAAAATGTAAAAAGATGATTATAAAGTTAGTTTGATATGTTAGGTGATCTTATATAAATAACAAGGTGATAAACAATTTGTAACTTAAACTAATGAATGATTGTTATTTCGTTAAATGAAAATTGTGACAGTGTCTAATATATGATATAACAATTAATTTTATAATGAAACATTAAAACGTCTATGCGGTATGGAAGAACACGCTTTGTTTTGTTTTTCAATTTCACACGACACATCACTATGGCCCATATGTTAACGATCAACATCACAATTTCGCGCACTAGCACTCACTGTGAAAACACTAGGCTTACTGTTACTAGCCTTTCTTTGATTTCCCGCACTCACTGAACTGACACTACTCGCCGACTGCAGCTCCAAGTCCGGGGAGATGAGCGCACGCCGCCGTCGTCACCGCCATCGTCATCGCCACACGAACACCGCCGCTACTACTGCTGCCACTCCGATTAACTCGTAGTTAATTGCGTAGTGATGGATTTCGTGCGACGATATTGTGGTTAACTGCACGTTATTCTGTTTTAGGTCTTGTATTTGACGGTCTAAGTTATGTAAGGAGCTGTT